GTTTTTTTAAAAAAAAAAAAAAAAAAAAAGAGAGAGAAGAGAGACGGGGGTGCGAGGGTGGAAGAGACAGGAAAACGGGCAGGCAAGGTGTACCCCACCCCCACCGGTCAATGCCTAGGGCAGGTACTGGTCCTGATTCCCGGGATCCGTTCTCCCGGTCCTCCCATGCTCATCAGATCGCCACAGCGGGGAAGCGACTCGCAAAGCTACAGGAACCCTCGCCAGTCTACCCCTACCCCCAGCCCTCACCCTGTTGCTCACCGGTGCTGCAGCCCCACGAGTCCCAGAGTGATCACATGCGGCACATCTAGCTGCGTGGGCCACTCTCCAGAAGCTATACACCCGAACACGCCACATTCCTCCCGAATCCCCAGCTCCTCCAGTTCCATGACGCCGCGGAAAACACGTGGAGGGGCCTGCCGCCGTGGTCCGAGCACCAACCAGCGGTAGGCTCGGCCCTGGCCCGCTTCAGAAGCTCGTGCTCCAGACAGTCTCTTCCTTCCCCGCCGGCTAGAGGCTAGTTATTGCGGCGGCGCGCGCTTTCCCCGAGGGGGCACAGCCCCCTCCGGCCCCAGCGCCCCCCTCCGCCCCTGCGGCCACCAATCAGCAGGGGCGGGGCTAGGGGCGGGGCCACGGACTCCACAGTGTGGAGCTGGTCGTGCCGGATCCGACATCCAGAAAGCTAGGCTTTCTGTACAAGGAAAACTCCGTTGTTTTCCGGCACCTGAGACTCAGGTGAAAAGAGTGGCGGAAGGTACGCCGTTTCTTTCTCGGAGGACGTGAGCTTTATGTGCCCCTGCCCGGACGCTTTCCCCCGACTGTAACGACTTGGTACGCTCCAACCCGTGACCCTCTCGCAGGGGAGCCGGCGTCGCAGCCTGAGAGCTCTGCTGTGGGGAGGGGCCTTCCTCTGCGCGCCACTTTACGCCTTTGGGGGAGCTGCCGCGCGGCTGGCGCGGAAGCGGGTCAAGTCAGCGCGCTTGCGCGGCGGGAAGCCTAGGGGCGCGGCTAGCCCAGACCTTGGCGTTTGCGGCTGAGTACCGCTGCTCGACGCCTAGCGGACACGCTGAGGGGCGTGTCCTTGCGCTCCGCGCCCCGTCAGCCTCTGCTTCTGTTTTCCCGAGAGCAGCCTTTCTCGCGCTTCATCGGCTCCCGCTTGCTCCGGACAATGGCGACAAACGGGGGTGAGTAACAGGCTTCCGAGCCCTAAGGTCCGGCAGACAGCTGGCGTGCGCGGCGCAGGCGTGCGGGCCCCGCAGTCGGTCTACAGCGCTGCGGGAACGCTGGCCCTCCTGAAGGCGACCGGGCCTCCTGGGCTGGCACGTGTGGCCCGAGTGTGGGAGGCCAAGTTCCCGGGCCTCGCCAAACACCCAGAAATGCACCGGGGACTGGAGAAAGGGCGCAGAGCAGGAAGGAGAAGGGACCAGAAACAAGCAAAAGTGTCCGGAAAGTTCGATAACTAGACATTAAGAAAGAAACATGAACATCTAGCTGCAATTTTCACCCGAAAGTCTTGTTTTTCTTGTTAGACCAGTAAGCTAATAATCTATTGCCGTAAGGTTAATAATTTATACTGTTTTCACAATCACTCCAGGTTTTTGTTTCTTTTGCTTCCTCTGTTCTGAAGTGCCTTGAAGTCGGAATCTTCGTGCCTTCACTTCCCAAATGCTGGGATTTACAGGCCTGGATCAGTATGGGCCTGCCCAGGTTTGTGTGGTTTGATCCCCATTTTTAGTAGTCTTGGATACTATAATGTCTTTGAAGAGCGTCGAAATCTGAAGGCAAAATAGTTTTCTTCGCGTTTGACCAATTAAACCAGTTCCATGATCAACACCCACTGCCATTTTTGTGTGGCAAGCCTGCCTCTGCCTCCCAGGTACTGGGGTTAATAATGGCTTGTTCCACCACACCCAGCATCAGTACATTTCTTACCCTGTTTGAAAAACAACAAAACCCTCAAGTTTAGGAGGTACAGCCACACATAAAATCAGGGCTTTGGGCTAGAATTTTTCTGAGTGTCATGGTTCATGTACTTCTAAACTGGTAAAATCTCTAGAATCTTTTGTCTTGAGTGCCATCTTTTTTTTTTTTTTTTTTTTTTTTTTTTTTTTTTTTTTCCTTTTCACCCCCCTTT